CTGCATGTGCCATGTGATGGCACTCAGGATGGTTTGTTCGATCACCTTCCCTGGCACCGAGGTCAGACTGACAGCTCTGTAGTTCCCTGGGTCATCCTTCTGGCCCTTCTTGTAGATGGGTGTCACGTTTGCAAGCCTCCAGTCAACTGGGACCTCCCCAGTCAGCCAGGACTGTTGGTAAATGATGGAAAGTGGCTTGGTGAGCACTTCTGCCAGCTCCCTCAGGATACCTCACAACTGTATAATTTACAGTCTTATTAAATACAAAGAGAAGATTCCACATGCCTGTACACTGTGTCAGCGATTGAACCTGTTACCTAATTCCAATAAGACGCTAAAATTGAAGATGGAAACCTGCATTTGACATTCAGTTCCTACTCTCTGATACAGACTAGCACTCATTTTTTATCTAAGAGAGTTTTAAAGTTCTGAAGCAAGCACCAACTGCATAAGAAATAAATATATTCCTCCCATGGAATGTGAAGAGGAGCATCTAGTATTCTGATGGAGTATTGAAAATGATGTTCTGTCATTCATCTAGCACTGAATAAAAAACATCAGCAGACTGGTGGAGAGGAGGCATTCATGTTGAGAAAGTGATTAAAAGTGCTAAATGCTAGGAGCTCAGTTTACAGAACACTAAAGGGTGACTGTACCTGATGCTGTAAACATACAAGAAGGGTGGGAACTTATCAGTGATGACAGAAGGAAGGAGTAGTGGAAGTCATGGAATCAAATTAAATACAGGAAAGCTAAATATTCGGCAAATAATTGTCATAATGGGAATGTAATAGGATAGTTGGTATCCCCTTACTTAGGATATTTAGAATTAAAATGGCTAAGATATGAGAAAATCATCTGCACTGAACAGTCTGGCATTACATATATGTATATACTTATAATATCAATTGGTTATCTGGTATTTGCTTTATAATTTCCATTTTCTGTGCTAATGCATATAATTTTTTCCTACACTCTTAGGACTTATAAGATACTTCATATATTTTCCCTGCAAATTTTGCCAGTTAATTTTCACTAGGTGGCAAGCTTTCTAGCAACTTAACGCTGATACACTTGGAGGTGTGGGAATTGCCAGCACTTCAGGGCCACAAAGAGCAGAGATGCAAATGCTAAGGCTGTCACACACCAACATCCACTGCTGCCTGCAGCTGGGACAGAGGAACCTGGGACCTTGGTGTGAAAAAAGACACGTGAAGGACCAGCCCATTCATGTAACTTTGTGGTGACGATATTCCCTGCAGTGAAAAACAACCCAGGAACTTACATGGCACAAATGGAGCAATGGTGACAACGATCAGGTTTTATCAGCTGGCATCTGTCACAGAATCGAACACCTGAAATTAGAGACACATTAACACCAAGTAATAGAACAGTGTTCTGTTTTCACGTTAGTTAATATTCCTTCCCCTACTCGTTCAGTCTTTTTCCCAGTTTAAGTCTTCTCTTTCTACTTTTGATACCAGTTTATTTACATGACACCAGATTATTGATGCCTGTACAAGGCACTGCACAAACCCCAAGAGAGACACAGAAAGAAAAATAGACCACATACCTATAGTGGTCAGAAACAGGACAACCCCTTTTGTCTAAGTGACCTAACCAGGAAAACAAAGCTCGTGCTATAGACACAGAAACACACTGTTTAAAGTAGCTTGCCACACACACAAAAAATATCTGTTTCTCTGCAGATTTAGCTGTAGAAGCAGAGGATCTCCTTGGGTAAGCCAGACAGAAATCAATGCATGCTCCAGAGCTGGCAGTCAGAAAAGATGACAGAAGCAGCTCAGTAGAAGAAATAGAAGCTGTGGGAATGGAAATAACTCACCACAGAGGAGATCTGTGAATAGAATCCAAAAAGGTATCTAATCCAGACTTTTCCCACATCACCTCCTAAAGCACCATAAAATACTACGCTGCCAATACCAAAATATTAAATGCTAAAATACTGTGGCAACACCCTGATGTGGGGTGTTGGCATGAAGACAAATTTGCTCACGTTCTCTCAACACCTTGAAAGCATCATCTGACTAATAAAAGATGATGGAAGTGGGTACTTTAACATTTTTTTTCCTGTAAGAACCATACATCTGGGTGTAGTGCAGAGGCACAGAAATTCCAGTGTGGAGGTATTAAGTTCCTCATTAAACCAAGGCATTTCAGAGGCTATAAACTGGAATTAATTTATTCTATTTATTTCAAAATAGATGAATAGGGGAAAATGTAGTCAGAATGGACCAAAAAAAAAAGACATTTGCAGGAGAATGTGAACTGTGAAATACAGGGCAGAAAAAGAATGAAGTGCAATAAAAGAAGAGGTTTTATAAAAAGCTATAAAAATTTACTCAAATTATTCCCATGGATATATTAATTCAGGCCTTTTGAAGCATCAGTTTCTATCACAGAATCCTCAAAGCCAAGGTTGATATTGTTCCTTATAAACCCATTCTCATCTCGAATATGTTTGATTATGACTGTGCTTGATCCTGATAAAGAAATAGTAACAAGCCATATGATTATTTGTAGCCTGGTAAGAAGTAGAGCTGGCAACTTCCATGCTTAAATGAAACCTTCACTGTGCAAAGAATGTATCCATGTGGAGGGAGCATTGCTGATTGGGTTGTGGATCCCTTCTGTTGAGGTACCAGAAAAACTATTAAGAAATCCCATTTATTTTGTGGACAGAAGATAGCCCCAACTCACTCCATCCAAGGAAAAAAGCATTTATAAAGATAGAGTTGAGGCACACAAACCCTTCAAGGGGAATGTTAAAATGAGTTATGAATTCAAAGTTATGAATCCCAGGAAATTCTTGGAAAAGAAAGGTCTGAATAAAAAGTTGGAGACAGCTTGGATATGTATGTCCTAACTCAGGATGCCCTTTGATCAAAGCTAAATCCCAGAGAAGAGCTTCACTTCTGGATCTCAGCCACAAAACGACGACACTATCTGTCAGCTGGATAGCTGGAGGAAGAAGAAAAATCTCTGAGCTGCGCTAAAGCATAGCTAGATAGAAGCATGTCAATATAACATTCCATGTCTGCCTCTAAATATAGTAACTGTGCTGTTAATATATGGACTTCCATATGTATTTTTCCCCTTCATTTTTACCTTCTCTCTGTCTTGCATTAGGAATGGTTTCCAGGTATTTGGCAAATACTAAAATAATTCCCTGGTATGGGCACGATACGATGGTCCTCAATACTTATTGCTGTGTTTTACAGTGCCTGGTGTGACTTCCAATTTGTACAAGCAGCTAAAAAACCCAATGGGCATATCTCTACTGAGCTTCACAAACCAATTTTGGAGCTGTTAATAGGTGTTGATGTGGAAGAGATGTCTTTCTGTGGTTAAATTAGGTGGAAGCTCATTAGCATTCAGCAAGGCAGTGGAGATGGTGCCTGCACGCCGAGGGATCCCCACGAGTTTGTAATAATTGACAACTAGTGCAACCGCAGAGGGTGTAACTCTTTACAACTAGACTCTCCTAGTACTTGTGTATAAGGAATTATTGCACTAATAATGAGTAGACTGTGCTCTTTCAGACAAAAGGTGCACGTTTTATGGCATGCCTGACAGTCTTTCAGTTTTGTAGCCCTAAGCAAATGTGACACATTTTTTTCTCTTTGTTCACAGTTTGACCCTGGAGAAACCTCAAGATTTCCAGTTACTTCTGACAGTGGTCATTCTTCAAGCATTCCAGCCCTTCAAATAAGGAACCTAAATGACACTGTGGCAGGACAGCAAAGCTCTCCAGCATCACGACTCTGTCACCTGTAGCTTCAGCCGTAACCTCTTACTTTGAGCCTGCAGATGCATGAACAGCTTCCTTCAGTTCACAAGGCAGCAGCTCTGGTTTTGACTTTTCTGGTCAAGGAACATCTGTAAGCTCTCCACAGCAGTGCTTACACCAACAAAGTAATTTTCCTTTGGAAATGCTTGTTTAGATGTTCAGGAAATATTACAGCTGTTTATTTTTTTTACCTTCCCAGATTATTTCCATTGGGAATATAACTGGTCTTTCTTTTTGAGTCCAATCTGCAATAACCTCCCCACCCCATTAGCAACACGGGTGGGGGTCTTCCAAAGCTCCAGGGCTTTTACAATGTTCTCTGTGCGCCAGTCCAGAGAAGATGAAGATGACAACAGAAAAAGTAAGGAGTTGAATGGAGCGGTATCCAAGGACAATTATGAAACCCCAAATAACCTTGTGTCCCAAGACAGGTACGAAGGTTCATCAACCACAGGAGTGGCTGTACCCCACTGTGCCTGGCTTGCCACATGGGGCCATGTCAGGAGCATGAAGGTCCTCTTGGCCCATGGGGCAGACATGGACAGCCTGGACCTGAAGCCTCAAACCCCACTTTTCACAGCTGTCAGCAACAGCCACCCAAAGCTGCCGAAGTGGGCTGCCAGCTTGGTGTTTTTTTCTGGTCCCCTCTACCCCATCACCATGTACAGGCACCTGGAGTGCTTTAAGATGCTGTTGCTTTACAGTGCTGATCCTGACTATAATTGCACTGAGGGTGATCACCCGGATCAAGGAGCCCAAGACTGTGCTGGAAACCTGCACGGGTACAGCTGCAGGAGAGAGTTCATCGAGCTGCTCACTGACTTTGGAGCCAATGTGTACATGCTCAACACCATGGTAGGCAAGACAGCACCCAACAGTGAGGGGCTGGAGCTGCTGCTGCAGGGGAGAGGTAATCTGTGTCCATGTCTCCCAGGCTGTCAACAAGCGCTAAATTTGCTTGTTTGGGTGCAAGATTCAGATTCCCCTTTCCTTTACCTCTCCTTCCCAAAAGCCTTACCCAGGCTCTTCTGCAAGCTTTGACTGCCTTTGCAGCATCGCTTGAGTGCATGGGTCTCTCTAGTCTTAAACTTTAGTATTATCACAAAAAAAACTTAATTCAACTCACCTGGCTGTATGAATGTAAAGAAAATGGAAATTAATAAGTAAGCTCATTGATTCCGTAAACCATTCATTTAATAAATATTACTACACATTTAATAAATATTACTACGCCTAGTGTACAACTGCTGATATTCCTCTAATATGGATAAAGCTTGTTTCTGGTTTCACTTCTCAACACATTATGCTGATTAAGTCAAGCTTCCCAATTAAATAATCTTTCTCTTCTAGCAACATATGGCCCGATCCTACACAGTACCTCTAGCATGGTCCCCTGTAACCGGGCAAAGTCACCTGTTGTGCCTCTCTTTGTTAGGCAGGGCTGGCACAGCACTGGGATCCTAGAAGACACTTCTTCAGATGGCAGTGGTAGAGGCACATGGGATTCTGGCCTAGAAGAGGAAGAATGGGATAAGCATCAAAAACTCAGCTGGGAGTACTTTCTTGAAGGGAAAACCTTACAGGTGAACCCAGTTGTGTATTTTATTCCTTATGCAATTCCACTCATGTGTTGCAGGTATCAGTAACAAACCTCTCACTGAATTCAGTGAAAAGGGGATTGGTCTTTAATTAGTACAGATGTTGGAGTTCATCTGCATTCTGGCTGCAATTCAAGGCCCCTACCAGGGATGAAATTTCAAGGCGGCCAGGTGTTACAATAAATGATCTTTACTCCCGGCCTTAACAAGTTCATACATACTAATTTAGAATAAAACAGGCATAGGGGAAAGGACAAATGTTTAGGGTGTCAGAAACTCCATCACTGCACACCTCCTGCAAGATGGCCACGCTGCCATCGGGTGATACCAGCACAGAACCTGCCACACTCTGTGCTTGATGGCACCAAGCTGAAATTTGGCACTGAGTGTCGGACACCTCTGCTGCCATTAGGGACTTCGCAGTCGCAATGCCGGCATTTTCATACCAGTGTCCAGTCCTCCCAAACAGCTCTTGCCCATATCCTTGCTCCACACATTATTCCTCTTGTAGCCTGCAGCTTCCCAACAGAAACACTCTTTACTTAAGTTATAAAGCACAAAATAACCCCAAAACATACCGCAAAATGCTTCTCACTCAGGCTCACCTTTCCTTTGAGGGTCTCTCTGTTCTGCCAGGCTAAATGTTTCACTACTTGAGACTTCAGGTTCTCTCAACTTGGATTGCAAATATGGGCAAATAGAGGAGAAACTGCCCTTTTTTCATTTTTTTTTCTCTAGAAGAGGTGCTGTACACAGATAAATTCTCTCCTCTTCCTTCTTCCTCTGTCAAACAAAATTAAAAATTACATAAATTTCCTAAATATATCTAGCAGAACAAGAGAGGCAAATGATATATGCAACTTGACTTTTGGGGGAAAAGAAAAAGAAAACGAGGCGCACGTACGTGACAACTGGGCATTTGTACTCAGGAGACATTCACAATTACATATTCTGACTTCCTTAAATCACACCTCGGTGGCTCCCTGTGGGAAGGAGGCCGGCGATTCCCCCTTAGCTCCCTCTGCCCGGCTCCGGCTCCTCCTCAGGCCGTGCTTCCCGCTGTGCCCACGAGCTCCTGAGGATGGTCTGGAGCCCTCGGAGCCGGGCGTTCATCGGCAGCAGCTTCGGATGTGGCCCGACGCCCTCTCCCGCGGGGGTCTGTGAGGACCGCCGCTGTCCTGGCCGGGCTGGGCGAAGCCAGCCAAGGCCTTGGCTCTGGCGGGGGCATAGGCTTCCCTGCGCCGGAGTCTGCGTCCGCCACCTGCTGCCATATTGGGAGGAACCTGACCACCACAAAAAGAAGGAAAAGGCCCTGAAATTTGGAACCTGTATTAGTCAGTTCAGCCTGGAAAGAAAGGCAATACAGAACAAGTGATAAGAAGAAATACAAAGCTGGAAATGCTTTGTTCCTAGAGAGAAGAAGGAGATCCTCTAGAACTCCTGTTTGGAGTTCTCAAACTTGTATATGCAGAAGTCACACCTTACTAGAAGAAGCAAGAAGAGACAAATAATCTGGTTCATTTCACCTCCTGTAACCAAAGCAGAAAGAGTGGGGGTTTGCTACTTTTTGTATGTGACATGGCCAGTACAATTGCAGCCTCCCACCTGGGCACAAGGAACATGCCCTGGGCCCACGGGGAAATAAGTAGGCCCAAAGTCTTGAAGCCCTGTTTATGTCCTGCTGAGGTTCATGGCCACATATTACAATTCTGCACCTCTTGCAACATAAGACACGCCAAGAGAACCTGACCTCTGTAGCTACAGCATTAGAACTGAGCACAGATGGTTTGGAAAAGTTTAAAAGCCAAGCGGGGTCTTAGACTCGGAAGAAATGTTTATTTCCTTCTCCAGTAGAAGAGGCAAGTGCCGGAGATCCTCACAAGCGGGCATCTGCACTTAGGCTGTGGGGACCTCAAAGCAAAAATATTACTTCTCAGCCTTTGCTCATCCCATATATGCAGCCACAGAGCTCAAGCCTCTCTGCCTTTCTTAGCATCAGAAACAATTCCTGCTTGTGTCCCATGAACATCCCAGGAGGCATTTTATATACATTAGAAATGTAATCAATTAATGCACAGCAAAGTTAAATTAAACACAGTCATACAGAGTTAGCAGCAGAGGAGACTTAAAAAAAACCTAGAGACATAAGGCCAGTTTCTTACTGGAGCTGTCAGTTGGCATTGCTTGCATATGAGTAAAAATCAATAACTGAATTAAGAAGCATACTTTATTTCAGTCAACTTCTAAATTGAGAAAGGAGTCATATGGGGATTAGAAAATGAACAAGGTTTTTTGACCTTTTCAGTAAATATATGCAGATCAATGCTAGGATGTTATACTTTGATACCAGAGCAGAGAAGGGAGCAGATATTCTTCAAGAAATTTAGATTCTTGAAATAATCAGTTGCAGTAAACTGTAGGGTAGCAACCCCAGCATATGCACCCTTTGCCTTACCTTATTTACTCGCTCGCTCTCAGTGCAAGGGACCTAGTCCCTAAGACACCACTACAGAGAAACTTGAGGGGGGAGGAGAAAAAAACCCTAGGTAGTTCAGGAAGCAACATAAAATAAAACCACCTGGCCACAATTAATGGTTTCCAGTAACACGACTGAAATATGTAGGAGGTATTCTTGCAACCACTTTAAAAGCATTAAATGCTGACAGCTAGAAATTTCTACTTAGAAGACAATTATTTCCATAATCAGTAGACGTTTGGATTTTTTTTTTAAAGTATGGTGATATGGCCAGAAAACAAAGCTGCATCTGGAGTTGGGAAGATTAATCACATTTATGTCCAAGAGTCGAATTCTTATCCCTCTGTAACACCTCTAATTTCACTGGCGTAGGTCATAATATACCCTAATGTGTATAGAAAAAGCATGAGAACATTTTTGTTCTGCAGTCCTGGGCTCTCTTTCAGTAAAGTGGCTTGGATGACATTTGAGTTTTCCAAACTAAGAAATTTGTTCTAAGTTTCCAAAGATTCCAAGAGACATACATGCAAACACAAGAAGAGGAAAAGGATATAACTTCTTTGCCAGAAGCTAACTCTACAGTTTGAAATTCCTGAAGTCGCTTCTGGCTTTGTGCGTTTCAGACATAGAATGGAGTTATACTCAGAAAAGGGCACAGGAAAATACCCTACAGAAGAAATGCAGACCTTCCATTGACCAAAAGCACAGAAAGCAACAGGAGCGACTGCCCCCCACCAGACTCGCAGGATATGACAAGTAACCAGATTTCACAACTTACTGTCCAATACTTAATGAAATACTTGAAGACTGTTGCAGCAATATACAAGCAATACAACAAAGAATAGGCTAAGAAGAGTAGAAAGAGTTTGTAGTTAGAAAATCCAATGCAGTTATTCACCCTAGAGAACAAAAGCAAAGTCGGAGTCAGGATATGCACAGCACACAGTTGTAACACAATGAGTACTACAATTGATTTGGTTTTATAAAGCCTCTTGATTTTACAGCACAATTTCATCAATAAGGAGCTCCCTGTAGTGGTCAAAATGAAACAGAACTAAGTATTCTTGCTTTTCACTTGAAGACTTCTTGCTATGTCAAGCAAAAGGACAGCTCTTATTTTTGGAATCTGTTTTACAGTTGGTGTTAATCCAAATTCTCCATGCCCAGCACAACTCTAAAAAGGGACGAGGGAATGAAGAAAAAACAGTAGGTGGTTGTTTCAAAACTCAGCTTTGAAAAATCCTCTGGGATCTAGGATTAACAGGGAGGTTCAAGTGGGGAAATGTTTGTGTTGCTTCTGATTTCTGAAATCTTCCTTCCTTTCCTTCCTTTAAAAAATTAAAAAATAAAAAATGAGTTTAAGAAATTTAGTGGCAGCAATGCCTGAAATGTATAAAGCTTAATTCACCCATGCACCATTCTACACAAAGTGTCTGACAATGCACAGGTGGCAGGCACCATTTCAGAAGCAGCTGCATGCAAATATCATTGAGAGCTACCACGTTAAAGGCTAAGTTGAAGACTCGTTAAAATGTGAATAACAGTCAGAGTAAATTAGCAGTTGGGGTTGAAATTATATCAATGTAACAGTTTTTTTTTTACACATAGTTTGTGGAATAAACATGAATTATCTCCCTTTCAAAATATCAAATATTTCAGGCAATTTCAAAGTGCCATTATTTCATAAATTTCCCAACATAAAGAGATGCATGGTCTAAAATGAAAGAGGCACACAGACATGAATCTCCTCCCAACCTTTCAACTTCAAATTGTAAATCTTTGTTCAAATCATGCATTTGTCTTGCTACGTTTCTATGGCCAAACGCCTCATTATTGGTGGTTTCTGAACAGGAGGAAATAAAAAGCTTACATTTGTGCCTTGGCCAAGACGAATGCTCTGTGGACAGAAGGCTCTGTGTTCTCTCATTTCCTTGGCAGGACTAAAAACCTTGGCCACTTTAGGAGAGGCTACTGGATTAGCAGGAGAGGAAAGAAAGAAAAAAAGAAGAAAAAAGAATCCAACAAAAAACAACCAGCAATGACAAAAAAGGCTCAAGAACAGCCTGGGGTATGTCATGGGTCCTGCTCCATGTCAGGGTGATGGGAGAGCAGGGTCTGATTTGGCTGGGTTTGGCTTTAAACCCTCTTCACCTGAAGGATTTTACACCTTAATTGATGCTGGTTGGAGAAGGGGCTGGGAAAAAGCTTGGAGGGCAGAGAGAGAGGAGCAAAAGCTGGTTTTACTTCCTCCCCTCCTGCTATCACTTAAATGGGCCATTATCTTGTATTTTTTCATTTAACACTGTAGACTAGCCATCTGCTCTAGTCAGTGCCTTCATTACAAACACACAGAAGTTATTTTTAGGTTCGCAGAGTGTATAATATCCATATATTGATGCTGATCCGTGGTGTATGTTTAAATAATTAGCTGTTCTATATCACTTATGAAAAACTAGTCAAGAACAACAGAAGGAAAGCATAACCAAGCTATCCTTATTAGAGGACAATTAATGGCATTACTTTGTTAGCCTCTTTACAAGCTGCCTAGAGAAGCTGCTAATGCTTCAGGTATTTAAACCTCAAGAAATCCTCAGAAACAGGAGTGAGCCATCAAA